AAGGCTATTTAATGCTAAAAAGTGGGTAGAATCGGCGGTATAAGATAAAAACTAAACTATTACTTCGAATAAAAATATATAGTAAAATCATATGGTCTGTTGAAAAGTTTTTAAAATGTCAAATTGCGTTAAAAACATTCGACATTCTGACTTTTTAGAGGAATTAATCATATTAAGCGCTTAAATCCACTTTTTATTACTAAATATACTAGAAATGCAATGTAAGAAAAAAATCAAAAAGATCTCCAATTAGCTGTTTATATCAGCCTTACACACGAAAAATTTATTTTTTTCTTTCTTTTTTTATGTATTTTTTGTTCTCTAAGAAACTAGAATAATATATAGACTTTTTAGCCGTTCTCATTTCCGAAACCAACACGTATCTAACAAAAAAAGGGCTGCTCATTTCCTGTGCTTCTAGGAAAACACACTTTCGGAGATTAATTCCCTTCATGTGCTGCTCGAATCGCTTTCACTGTAACCGAGAACGGCCAACTTTAGTTTCGCCTCAATGGCATCGTCCACTTTGCCCATTCGCGCGGGAAAGTCAATATTAAATATCGAGAAGTTTGCTGACTATTCGAGTAACAAATAATTTCTTTCAATCTGAGCTTGTCGTTTGAATGGCAGAAACTGGCAAGACACAATAAGATGGCTGCCGATGATTGGAGAATTCTAATGATACATGAGAATTTAGTCCGACGCATAGTTTAACTTCGTTGCGACGGTTTTGTAAGAGAAAGCAGTAAAATTTAATTATTCTCCGTTCGTTGGCAAAAAATTAGGACCAGATTCATTTAAAATCAAAAAGTGAAGAAATCAACATCCTTACTTCATAGATTTCATAGACGTCCTTTTTTCTTCTTTAAAGTGAAATCTCACCTCAAATGTATAGATTGAAGGGATTTAAAAAATCGTAACAGGAGCTTAAAACATTATTGCTTAGTTGTTTGCATGTTCCAAATCTGAAGAAAAGGGGCGATGGCTGTAATTTGCAACTCAATGTTTTGCTAGAAACTGTTTGATAAGAATGTAACTATTTGATTGCGTATTGTATTGCAAACAAAATGAATTATTATATTGACCTTTTTAGATCCGTTGGGCTGAATTCTCTTCAGATATCTGGCTATTATATCTTTATGAAATTAAGAAGATTCTTGCGCGTCTTTAGAAATAATTTCTTAGCGAATTATTTCTTTCGTATCAAAGATCTCCAACATGATCTTTACTCAAAATTTCTAAAACCAAAATTTCTCCAGTCTTGGTTAAGTTTCTGCACCATGTAAATGGTTGTCCTAAGGTCATAAGCAGAGCATCACATTTCATTTCAATTAAAATGTATTTGAACACTTTGCTATCTTTCCTATTTTACAGCGAAAAATTAATTCATATTCTTTTGTAAACTCTCGAATTTATGATAGCTAATATTCAGTGGATCAAAGCAAACGATTAACTGTTCGTTAGCAGATGATATTTTAGGAAAAGCAAACTCAGAGGTCACAGTAATAAATGCTGTCAACTGTAATTTGGTAGGTTTACTGAAATTCATTAAAAAATTAATTCTAAAACTTTGTATACGCGCTGTATAATTTTCTACGTTAACGCAGTTTTTATGGTAATATCTTTTGAATATATTGAAATGTTTCGTGATTTCAATTTGCTTACCTTTGTTTTGAGTGAACTAATTCTTGGGAATCAGAACATTCATTTATTCGAAACATCTGATAGAAAAACTGTTTCATTTGTCTTTCGGAGACGTTACACTCAGTGCAAGGTTAAAACACTGGTTCCCAGTGCGGCGCCCGCTATATTTTGCTTGTGTTCTCTGGCTTGCTACTGCAAATCACAGCTGCGTTTTTCGTAAAATTCAGAAGAATCTTATAATTGTATAAATTTTGAAGGCAACATGTATGCATATATAGTCGTAGTAATATTGCAGTGCTGAAAAACATAAAAATACAACAATCGTAACTGAAAAAGAAAATGTTTGAAATTCGAAATTACAGTACTGTTCATTTTATTTACTTTACGGCGATTTCTATTCCAAATTCCATTTTATCGGATTAAATTCATTTGCCGCATCCATTAATAATACAATCATACATCCTTCCTCCCATTTTGTTTTACTAATGCTCGCACTTTTCAGTTAAATAGATAAGTGAATCTATTCTAAAATTTGACTAAGATTGAAAAAGTTGAACAGTAACTTTTGGATTTTCCAAATAATGTTATTTAAAAATCACATGTAATAGGAAGAGAAATTTATATTTTCATTTACTTAAATATTTTTTTCATATTCTTTAAAACAGCAGTTTATAAATTGAAATTCGTATATACGTTTATGGAAAGGAGTCATTTTTCGATGGTAAGCATCGTTAAAGCAAAGTATAGATCTTGAATTACAGTTAAAGATTATATTTTCAAATTAGATTCGGTGCTAACCATAACCGTATTTTGAAACATTCTCATTTATCTCATTCGTTAAAGGTGTAGAATTCTCAAATTATTTTGACCGCGACTATTCTTTAGAAATCGGTATTACTGAATCTCAAAACAATAGCACTCTGTAATAATCAAATAAAACACTTAATGTTTACTATAAGAGGTGTCAGCGCCAGTGACATTAACTTTGTGTCTAGACAGTGTCTGAACACGATGTTAAATGAGTGGAACATCATTGTGACATCATTTCACGCATATTTCACAGCTGCTCCCATCGCACCTGTGGATTTAGCACTGCATCGGATGGAAAGGATGAAATAGGAACAGCTCTTACCTACCCCATCGACAGAGGATGAAATGGAATTCTTTTCAAAAAAAGTTCATCTGAAAAAGGCTGAAGTAGGACATAATCGAAAATTCTGTATTGAAAATACGAATAGTTGATTTCCCATCAGTGCAGCTACTAAATCTAAGAATTACTGGCTGTTGATGTACGATGATTTTAGCTTTGTGTTCGCGATGTCACTGTTCCCAAAAATCAAAGCTCTGTTTTCGATGATGCGTAGCCTGCAGTGGAAACTTTTTTTTTTTATGTGCAGTTATGTGGATTTTAAAATCTCTTTGAAGTACAAAGTTTTCTAGCTATACGTTTCAACATTTTTTCGGTCATATCACATGTAGTAAGTGATGAGTAATCCTTCAAAATCTATTTATGCTTCTATTATTGTTTGTGATCCTTGTTTATTCGACAGAGATGCAGTGAATTGTCTAAAATCGGGAATTTTCAAAATATGGACTCAACTCTTTTAGCATTCGAATTCATTTTATTCGCTGAGAAATGTAAAACTTTGGGTGCGTATTACTTCTCAATGCATTCAGAAAGAAAAATAGCATATTGTAGTATAAGGATTCCGAACTTTTTTCTTACATCGACCCCCTTTAAATGAATAACTATCTTTGTCGATCCCCTTACTGTTATCTCTATAATACACAGCATGAAATATAATCATGAATTGCATATTTATAACTTAAAGATAACGGTAACCAAAGTTCTTAATAAACCAAAGTTCCAAAGGAATGTGAACCAAAGTTCTTAAAAAATTATTAGTTTTATATTTTATTATTTTTGTATTATTAGGAGAATTAATTTTACAAATTTAAGCAAGTTTTCAAAACCAAAATCACAAATTCTAATTGCACTAAAGTTCAGTTTTAATTAATGTGATTCCAAATCTTAACTGCGCTTCTTGTATTAGTACAATTATTTAAATATTTGGCATGAAGTTATTTAAATTAATTCTTAAATGACCTCGTTCAAAAGTATTTAACATGTTTCTTGTTTTCCTTAATAAATTATTGACTTGACTAAAGTCTGCTTCTTCTAAATAAGAAGTGGGATCATGATGTTCTGTAATAATTTTTACTTTTGGATATTTCTCTCGAATGACTTTCCAATTATGAAAACCTAACCTACATATATTTGTTTTAAACAAGACTTGTTCTTTAACATCTTTCTTCAATGCAGTCAACTCTTCTTGCATCATAACATCAAGATCAGATATATCGCAGCACAGCGGTTTTATGAGTCATGCTGACACTTCAAATTTTCAGTGTCTTGGAAGCAAACATTAAAATCTTCTTTTATATTCTGCAAATGGCTTGTATGTAATAAGTATCATCTGAGAAAGTTTTGCATTCTTCATATTTTTTAGGTTGTGTTTTCTTGTGTTTCTGCATTTTAGGTTTTTACTGCACATTCTGTAGAAGACATTTATATATTTTTAAAAAACGTGTTATTGATTTTTAAATTTAATTATCTCAATTTTATGTATTTCCCGCTTATATTTGTTTTATGTGATTTAGTTTTTCTTTCTGCATGATATAGCTTTGTTTCAATTTATAATTAATTCTCAGTTTTGCAGTACATTTTTTGTAATCAATAAGATCATTATCATGCCGATCAATTGTCCCTGTATATTCCCCTATCCACCCTCAATCCACTCCATGATCATCATTGAACCTCAAGAGATCTATACCAACTCTGTTTTAAAAGTTCAAAAATTGATAGCTAAGAGAGAAAAAAGCAATTCTCTTCCTTTTAAATCTTTTTGATAAGCTTTTTAAAGAATATATTTACCGTTTCATAATAGATGTCCCATGTATTCAAGAAAATAATTAAATTTCAATTCCCGAGCATGAAGTTTCACTACAGACTAAAATGAATTATTGTATTATCCTATTTTTGCAACGATAAGTTCGTGTCTCTGTTTAATCTTTAATATTCTTTGCGATCGATTATACTCCGATCCAGTCAAAGAATATACAGTCAGTAATCTACTTAAATTCCATTTTCTAATATCCTTTACGAAATACCTCTATAGTTCTATATTACTCGTCACCATCGATTACTTTATTGGAAACTTCGTAATTTTTTATGTAGTCTTTTCTTCCCGCTATATTTCATGAGGTCGATATTCTAGAGTAATAGAGGCATGCTTGAGGCCGTTTCTGAATCCTCTCACTTGACATTTCATAACTCTTGGTAACTATTTATCCAGATGTCGACGAATGTCAAGAAAATGGACGGATATGCTTGAGAGGCCGATGTGAAAACCAGCCCGGGAGCTACAGTTGCCACTGTCAAGATGGTTTCATCTTGTCACCAGAGGGCGATTTCTGCTTAGGTAAAGAGAATACTTTTACTGATTTTATTTATTACTACTTCGTGCACACTCTTTTAAATATGCTTAATTAAAGATTTCGTTATATTTAAAGACAGTTAAGGAATCTGTTACACAGTATATGATGTAAGTTCCTTTCTGGAAAATATTTAGATTAAAATTTTGGAAAAGCACCAAACAGAGCCACGCTTAAATGTGTCATTTTTATGCAAAATGATATTCTCATTTTCTGTTTGGTTTAAAATTGTACACCATTTATCAGTATTAAATATTACTAATACGATCAGATTAAAATTCTTTAGTAGTAATATATGAAGTAAAATAGAAGAAATATAATTAAGGTTAAATACAGTTGACACTTATTATTGAAAGCAATATAAGTATAATCTTAAAGATTTCCGTAGATGTTTAAAATTAGCCTAAATTCAAATAAGTAATTTGATTTGCTCAATAACTATAAAAGTATCATAGTTGGTTCTTATTTGCATCTTTCATTATCCTGAAGAAATAGAATAATGATATGCACAGTGTTTCCAAAGGAGACATATACTTCCTCAAAAAAAGTACTGATTTCATAAGTTATGCAAACGTTCGGTGAATGTCGTGGTGTAATGAAACACGCCAAGGAATCGAACGTATAGAGAGGCTGGCATATACTCAGAGTTTAAATCCGATAGAACATGCATGGAATGCCGATTTGCGTGACTGCAGACCTAACCTAAGCCTCTCCAGGAGCTTCTAGGCACTATTCGCTGTGAATATATTTTGTTATATCAAGAACTCCTAGACAATACAGAGCAAGGAAAATCGCTCTTGCATTTCGTTCAGGGGCACCATACACATTATTAATTTTTCGATGTATCTCTAAAAATTTGTAACAGCAATTTTTCCCCTTTTATATCGCGCTTCCTACGTTCTTATTTGAATTTAGTTTTTGGATAATAAATCAATTCTGTAGTTTGAAGATATGTCAAGACTGACAAAATAAACATCTTGGGCACGTTTCATGTTTCTAGCTGCAATATCATTCAAATTAAACGAGTTTTTACCGCAGTTCCTTTAATATTTTTTCTAGTGTATTTAAGCTCTTCTGGTGTATTAAATATTAAGTCTTTATTCTTCCTCCATTTGTATGCCATAAATTTGTATATTTATACCCATTAAGACATGACTTTTTTAATAGACAGAAATGAATGTGAAGAGAAAGGTATGTGCAGAAACGGCATGTGTGTTAACGCCGACGGAAGCTTCAAATGTATATGCGGTCCTGGGTACCAGCTGTCACGAGATGGACACTTTTGCATTGGTAAGTGAATGAGAACTATCTAAAGTTATTCAAATAAAAGAATGCGGGATCAGACAGTTCTCAGATTTAATGATACAGAATTATCATAATATCGTAGTTATTGCATTATCCAGCTGTACAGACTACGATTGGTAGTAGGTAATGGAGCTTCTGACATGACCGAAAAAATTGGGAACACAAAAGGAAGTTTATGTATTTGGTAAGGGAGAGTTGAAAGCTAAAAAAAAATTAGCTTTTCAGATTAGAGAGAAATGTGTCTGTGCTAAATATAAACTAACTATGAGAATTCGTGAGAACTGAAATGTTTATGGTTTTCAAACAAGCGCGAAAGAAACTGCAAGAGGAATAGCTTATGAAAAAAAAGTCCTGTCCTTTTGCATGACAACAATTATACCAATGCAGTTAAACTGGCAGACAACCTACTGAAGCAGTTTCACCGGTAATCATTGAAATAGCCGTCTGTGTTTCCGAATTAAGATATTTCTTAATGATCACATGAATAGTAGCATAAATAGCATTTAAATTTTTGCATCTTTATCCCGGAAGAAACACTTACGAGCATGAAATCGCTTCCAATCACATCTCATAGTGTGAAGGTTGTGAGCAACAATAAGTGTTTCATGGGTAAGGAATTCAAATATTGATTGTTAAATGGAATAACAATTTTAATAACTAATGAGAAGTTTTTCATATGTTGCTATTAAAAGGCACAACACAATATCTTCTTATTTCAATGCCTCTTATTACTACAATACACTGACAGATTAAATTTACACGGAAATTTTTTCACGTACCTTCATTAAAATAAAAAATCATTTTTCTTTTTGTCATATACTAAATGAAAGGAAATCATATTAATGATTTCACGTAAGCTAATTTAACTTAATTTACCTGAATCTCTGGGTCTGTTAATATATTCTAATGCATAAAATAAATATAAAAATTTTATTTGATTTTAATGAATATAAACTTTTGTTACTTCTTATTACATGAATTTTAAAATACGTTAAAATTTCTGTATTTGAAGTTATTTACAATCGAATGCATAAAATTAACTAATGATGGTGATATGTAACAGTAACTTTAATAACTTTTTTTAAATTTCCATTTCTTTAAAAAAATAGAACAGAAAGCCTTTGTAGAATCTAACAAGCTTTCAGCAACGTAAAATTTTGAAAAATGTATTTTTAGCTTTCCTATTCAACTTTTATTTAAGGTGACCGAGCAGTTCTGCAGTGATTTTAGGTGCAAACTTAGCTTCATTGCTTAATATGACTCTTTCAGATGTCAATGAATGCACCGAAACTCCGGATTCATGCGTTAATGGCAGATGTGAAAATACAGACGGAAGTTTCAGATGTACGTGCTTTGACGGATTTACTATGGGACCCAATGGAAGAATTTGCCAAGGTAAATATAATATTATTTCCTCAGCACGGTTGTTTGCAGCACGGTTGTCACAATAAATAAATTTTGACTAAAACTAATTTAGCGAATTAATTTCTAGACTTTTGAATTGATTACTCCTAGCATGTGTCAAATAAAAGTAGTTTAATGCCATATACTGAGTGTTTCTAAGCAACTGCATCATCAGATAATTTCGAAAGATTTGCCATTGATTCGTGGTCTTACGACCAATCTTTCAATTTGCTTTTATTCTACATTATTCTTGCTATAACTTTGAAACTAATTATGTACTTCGTATGCAAACTAATGTCATATAATTAGTGAATCTATTAATATTAGTGATTTCCTACTTCGTTCTTTCATTATTAGCACCAGAGATACTCTTAGTCTCATTTTTTTGTCCGTATAATTTTTCAAAGCCAGAAGAATGTTATCGCTATACATTATTTTTAAAAGTGAATATATGTAAATGGATAATCATGCAGTATACGATCTACTGCTTTTAGTGAATTATTTATTTCCTAGATGGCGCCACTAAAACTCTATTTTTAAATTCGAAAGTGCGATAAAATGACAGGAAAAATAAATTATTAAAACAGTAACCAATCTTAGTCTCGCCAGCTAGAAAGCAAATATCTCGCTAAAAGCGGTAGCCCGCATACTGCGTGACTATAAATACCAAAAAAAAAAAAAAAATTGGGGAACACAAATCAAAGGATATTGCCGCCAAATGCTATCGTTATGTATTATATTAAAAGAAATAATACGGCGAGTACAAAATGTATGGCAACACTTGAACTCTCTATCGGGAATTTCAAGATGTGCTGTTTTTAAATATTTTGTGATTTTGCTGTTGAATTTCATGTGGCGTAAATGCGAAGAAAGTGGTATTTAATTAATAAAGTTAAAAAACAAAAATTTAATAAAAAGGGAAAAAAAATGCCATTTTTAGTAAGAAAACTGAACACTTATATAATAAACTGTGAAACACTGAAAAATAATGGTAATACTTAACATTGTATAGGAACTTCTAAACATGTGCTGGTTTTAAACATTTATGATTTTCCTGTTGCATTTTATGCGGCATGAGAGTCAATTAAAATATGTTTAATAATATAAAACAAAAAAAAGTGGGGAGACCATCAAGTATTTTTAGAGCTCTTTTCAATTGAGGGAGAAAAAGGTTACCGTCTAGCAAAAACTAAGATTTAATCGGGAATTCTAAAAATATCCTGCTTTTAAAAATATTGTGATTTCATTGTAAATTTCATGTGACTAATAAAGACAAAAAATGCTGTGTAAGCAGCGGTGTGTCCAAGAGCAGACTAAACTGCGAGAACATAAAAAACTGTTTTCATTTTCAGCCAGAACGTAAAAATCTGAACAAACCGTCTGGTGCGACTTTAAACTCTGAATCTTTTCAGACCTTTTTCCCTTTCTTTAGTTTTTCCAGATTTTGTTGTTTAACTATTTTCCATTTATCAGTTCTTATTACTAAGCTAATAATAAAAAACTGATAATTTTTTATTTCTCAAAGACTGTAGTGGTACCATACTAAAAAGTATCAGACGATAATTCGTCACCATCAAAATATGACTGTTGGGTCCTCTCCTCCCCAGTCGCCCTTTAAGAGTAAGGTATTTTTTTCTCTCCTTAGCGACTGTCTTCGTAGTGTAATTGAAAGCAATCCAACGATCCAGACTTCAAGTCCCTACAAGAGCACTGCAGATTTTGCACGTCTCCTGCTCAAAAACAATATGCCTAATGATCTCTACACATTGAAGTTCTTTGTATGGTTATATACAAATTGAATGAATGAATAGAAATTTCACTATTTTATTCACAGAGTGTGTAATTTGAAAAAAGAGAAGCATTTAAAACTGACAACCATAAAAGGGCACCCGCAGTTAAACAAATTTGTTAAGTTTACCACGTATCAAGATTTCTGTTGATTTAGATTTTTTTTTGTAGAAGATCAGATTTCTGTAGCAGTGACCATCTATGAGACCTTTCTTTTCCAAGGTCAGTTAAAAATAAGAAAAATTTATTATTATTATTGTTCTTGAGAAACCTAAATACGTGTTTATTTTTATGATTTTCACCCTGTAAGACTTCAGTTCTTGAAAACATTAACATCAATTAAAGCTGAGTTTGGTACTTACGTGTTCCTTTGGGCGTTCACAGGGATCACAATGTTAATTCGTAATTACTTTATTTACGTTTCACATAAATAAGCTTAATTAAATTTGACAAAATAGCATAATTATTTTATTGAAATCTGTCATAAATTTAGACCCTTTACCAGAATCTCAACTTTTTCAAATAGATATAAGTTCAAATAGATTTAATAAGGTATTAGTTAATATATGTAAAAATATGAGACTTAGTTTTCCATTAAAAGTTTACCAATTAATTATGTTGCCTATTCATTTATTTGCTCATCATTTATTTATTCCCAGATGTGATATTTGTTTGATGAACCTAATATTTCATCCATTTTGAATCCTAGTTTTTCTCTTTTAAAGTTTTCATTTTCGTTCTCTTTCCTTTTCTAATAAACTCTCTTCATTATTATTCCTTCATTGTCTCTTTTTACATTTCTTTATTATTATTTTCTTTTTACTTTTATATATGTATATCTATATAATTAGTTTTGGATGCTTTGTATTCAAAAGTCTTTTGCAAATAAGATGCTATTGCACTGCTGAAAATTTGAAAAGTAGGAGATAAGGCTGAAAGGCTGAAAAGGCATTAAATCATTATCACTTCTCACATCGGTCAATTTGACTGCAAAATTGAGACTAAATATAGGTTTTTTCAAAATGACTGACCTGAATTCAAATTATTTTATTTTTTAAATTCGCAAGCACAGTTCGAAGTACGATAAAAAATTGAAAGGTAAACTGACCATATTTTGCTTGTAAAAATTTCTTCGCAACTCCTTTTCGTTAAAATAATAATCAGACAGTTGACTTTCTTTCTTTGCTAGTACTACTTTTACTGCAGTATACCTCCATGCAGCAACAACTATTCAATTTTTGATATATTCATGGCTGATGGGCAAAGGTGACAAAGATAGTTAACTATATTTTCACGCTACAAATATTATTTTCAACATATCCTCAAAAGAAAAAGCAATAATGCAAAAATTTCGGAATATAAAACCCTAGTTATGAAAAGGTGTTAATGCAACTGAAACCGTAGCAACTAAAGCTCTGCGTTTAGAAAATATAGTAATCTAGATCAACATTTTTGTGACATTCTATAATTCCTTTCTTATTTCATATATTTCAAATTATGCGAATGATAATAACAAAGGTCCATTAAATAGATGAATCAATTATTTTTGTTGAGATAAATAATACGAAAAATGTTGAGTACAGTACGCAGGCCGTGCTAGCAGGTGTACTTACAATTCTTTTCAAGATTTAAAGTAAATCATGAGCGTGTAAAGAAATCATAATGAACTCATTATGATTAATAAAGTATAATAAAGTATTTTCTCATCATAATAAAGTATTTTCTAAACTTGCTTTTGATCTAAAGTCGAAAAATAATTATTCTGTAGAGCAAAGTTGTTTATATACCTTTTAGAGGTTCAAAAATAAATAAATTTAAACAGTTTATATAAACTACTTAAAAAGATTCTTCTAACAATTCATATTAGTAAATTTAAAATGGTAGATACTTGCAAGGCCTCTTTGTATCTAATTCGGACTTTCAGCTGTCAATAAATTTCGGTTGTGCTTCCCATTAGCACGCCGCTTCGGTCGTTTAATTATGCGGTAATGTTTCATTCTGTTTCCTAAAGTGCGCAGTTTTGCTTGAAACCTTATGATCCTCTTACTTTGATATCCCTGCTGTTAACTTTAATTTATCCTTTGTGGATCTTCAAGTTATCTGGAGTTTCCTCTAACAAATAATTAGAAGTGTCATCTTGGCTGTGAAATTTCCTTTACTGATGTAAAATTAGAGTATTGTGTGTTATAATAGATGAAGTGAAAGAGAAAATGATGTAATTATTTAGTAACCTGAAAGGCTTTCAAATTTATTTATTTTGAACTGAAAAAGGTTTAAATATATAATGGTATATAAATTAAAATACAATCAAATTAAAAAACAGATTCTATACACATGAGAATAGAAAATTATATTAATTAAGCTCGCTGTTCTTTGCCGAAAACTTACAAAAGTGTGAGTTAAATTCATTGTTTTGTGCTTTAGAGAAGTTTACTGTGGCAAACTTTAGAGATGTTTTCATTGAGATCATTGTAAAATCTTTGAAGATTAATAGCCCAGCTGATATGCAACAGCATACTGCGTCGAACTGCGCTATACCGAATTTTAAGAAGCCGGAAGTTTGGTTAGCTATAACTGGTAGTTCGCACCACCTGATTCATTAAAAAATTCGATTATCTCACAAAAGCATTAAAAATCGATTGATAAATTGCAAAAGAAACAAAAAGCTTCTAAACATTGTTACATCTGTCAAAAGAAATAATAAATATAATTAAAAACTTCGTATCAAGATTTAATTTCAATTATTATTACGCGCAGTTATTAAATTTGTACGTTGTTCTTTTCCAGTTTCATTATGCGTTAATTATTTTGTACGATAAATTATTTAGTATAAATATCATAATTCTGATTCTTCCCTCGAATTACCCACTTACAGTTATGGATTTAATAATTTTTTCATTAATAATAAAAACACTAAAAACGAGTAATAAAAATTATTGATGAATTTACCTTTAATTTTTACCTAACTTCTGAGTACAAAACTAATCTATAATTTTTTTCTGACGGAATATAAGTTGCAGGAAAATTTTATCCACCGTCACAAAGCAAAAATTCCGTAACCTTTATAAAAGATTCAGTAATCTATATCTTGCAAAAGACCTAAAGAAGGCACTGCAGAGCAGTATAATGGAGACGAGGCGCTTCGAAGTTATCACTCTACTCGTTCACGCTCCTCCGCCCTCCTGCATGAGCGAATTCGCTGT